CTCTCTAACTTTATCTCCCAGTTGTTCAACCTGTGCTGTACCTCTGATGATCTCATTCCTGATCTTCTCCATCCTTGTCTCTCCTAAGGAGAACCTCAACATCTTCATTTCTGACACTTCCAGTTCTGTCTCCTGTCTTTTTGTCCATGTCTCTGTCTCCAGATCATACAACATAGCTGGTCTCACCACTGTCTCGTAAACTTTTCCTTTGACCTTTGCTGACACTCTTTTGTCACAAATCACTCCTGAAACTTTTCTCCATCACTCCATCCTGCCTGGACTCTCTTCTTCACCTCTTCACCACACTCCCCATGTTCCTGGACAGTGGACCCCAAGTCCTTGAAGTCCTGCACCTTTGTGACCTCTGCTCCTTGTAGCCTCACTGTTCCACCTCCTCCCTCTCATTCACACATGGACTCTGTCTTACTACGGCTGACTTTCATTCCTCTTGTTTCAAGTGCATACCTCCACCTCTCCAAGTTATCTTCCACCTGTCCCCTTTTCTCACCACAGATCATGATGTCATCTGCAAACATCATCATCCACGGGGATTCCTGCCTGACCTCATCTGTTAGTCGGTCCATCACTTTGATTTTCCCCAAAAGACAATACACAGGTTAATATTCAATAAATAAGCAGGACGAGTACTCCCTTAGACTGAGTGGAGAAACTTCTTTAGTTCCCTATCACTGCAGTAGAAGGAATCTTTATTCGGTTTTCAGCTAATTTAAAAAGTATTCATGTAAGTTTAATCTGTCGTCCATCCATCTGTCTACCCATACATTTATTGCTAGACAATTGATCAATCGATAATTGATCAAAAGCAGTATTTTATGCACCTAGAGTAAGTTGGAGGTAGAGAGGAGGAGGGATCTTTATTCAGAGTCAACAAAACCAAAATGTAGTCGGGCAGTTTCATCCAACTGTCCACTGTGTCTGGTGATCAGCTGATGTCTACACAGTCTTTGCACCAAGAGACCATTACTGTAAGGAAACCGTAAATCTGTTGGTAATGCAAATCTTGGAAAAGATCGTTTAATATGAGAGTGGAACAACACATCTGGGTGCTTAGCCTCTGCACGAGGCTCAGATCTTTTTTTTTTGGTTGGAGGGGGGTTAAAACTATCTCTCCTCTTTGACTGGTAGCGAAACTCCCAGGGCCTCATGTATCAACGGTGAGCACTCACAAAAAGGCTGTGTAGCAGATTTCATGCACACAATGCGATGTATCCAAACAGATGTTGCGTTAAAGTGTGAGCAAACATACACGAACTGTTCCCTTGCAGTTGGACTGTGCCTACCGCCACAAAACCTTTTTCAGGTGACAGTATGTCATTGTAAAGTACTGAAACTTGCCTAAAATCACACACAAAAAAAAAGATTTTTATTGATTTTCCTGAACCCAGGGGGTATTTAAATACATTATTTTCTCATGAGTTTGTGCGTTTATGTTTTAAATGGGGACCGAGCTGGTGTAGATCAGGGATGATGTCATGGGAATTTTGGGAAATCCCCAAAGTCCCAGATGTCAGGCAAATGCAAGAGACTGCATTGCATGCATGATGGCTGCTTCTAATGTTTTTATCCATGTAAACTTAAAGGAAGACAATGTTCCCGGGGCCAACATTGCGTTAGAATATATTGAAGGATACAACTACATCAATGCACAGCTTAAGCGCTGGTAACAATGCAGGAGACTAGCAGTGTCCGTCCACCAGACCGAATTGATACAAAGGCACACGTGGCGTTCCCAGTGTCTCTCTGCCGATTAATAAAAGTAAATAAGACCAGATAAGATAAAATAGAACTTTATTTATCCTGCAGGAAATTGTTGTGCCAGAGTTTCAGTACAAAGTAACTTAAGGTAAGTTAAAAATTTAAAATTTTTAACAATTTTTATCAATTATTAAAAAAAAAAAAAGATACCATAAGTAAAACCTGTAACTTCCTGTTCTCAGTGGGCTTAAAAATGGTATAATAATGTCATGTGGTAGTGTTAAACTTGATTACTCCTCTGAAACGTGGGAAAAGCTCCTCTAGTTCTTATAGAACGCGTTATTTTTCTTTCCTCTCTCTACGACCTTCTGTTTCGACTGAAAATCGAGTTTAGAAAAATCCTTTAGTTTTGAGATATTATCTTCCATTTCGTCTAAACAAACTTATACAACTGTACCGTTTGCTACATCCCTGTCCGCCCCTCTGCGTAACAGAAGAACGCACAGTGGCTGCACCTGCTTCATTGTCCCAGCACTGCCCCCTATCGGTGTGGCAAGGTATATTCTGCCTCACCCCTGTGTATTTTGACTATACATTTACGACCGATTAGAAAGAAGAAATGTGTCACACACATTCATTCAATATACAGGTGCTGGTCATAAAATTAGAACATCATGAAAAAGTTGATTTATTTCAGTAATTACACAGACTGATATATTTCAAATGTTTATTTCTTTCGATGTTGATGATTATAACTGACAACTAATGAAAACCCCAAATTCAGTATCTCAGAAAATTAGAATATTGTGAAAAGGTTCAATATTGAAAACACCTGGTGCCACACTCTAATCAGCTAATTAACTCCAAACACCTGCAAAGGCCTTTAAATGGTCTCAGTCTAGTTCTGTAGCTACACAATCATGGGGAGACTGCTGACTGGACAGTTGTCCAAAAGACGACCATTGACACCTGGCACAAGGAGGACAAGACACAAAAGGTCATTGCTAAAGAGGCTGGCTGTTCATAGAGCTCTGTGTCCAAGTACATTAATAGAGAGGTGAAGGGAAGGAAACAATGTGGTAGAAAAAAGTGTACAAGCAGTAGAGATAACTGCACCCTGGAGAGGATTGTGAAACAAAACCCATTCCAAAATGTGGGGGAGATTCACAAAGAGTGGACTGTAGCTGGAGTCAGTGCTTCAAGAACCACCATGCACAGATGTATGCAAGACATGGGTTCCAGCTCTCGCATTCCTTGTGTCAAGCCACTCTTGAACAAGAGACAGTGTCAGAAGTGTCTTGCCTGGAACTGCTGCTGAGTGGTCCAAAGTTATGTTCTATGATGAAAGTAAATTTTGCATTTCCTTTGGAAATCAAGGTCCCAGAGTCTGGAGGGAGAGAGGAGACACAGAAGCCACGTTGCTTGAGGTCCAGAGTCAAGTTTCCACAGTCAGTGATGGTTTGGGGTGCCAAGTCATCTGCTGGTGTTGGTCCACTGTCTTTTCTGAGGTCCAAAGTCAATGCCAGGAAGTTTTAGAGACTTCATGTTTCCTGCTGCTGACCAACTTTATGGAGATGCAGATTTCATTTTCCAACAGGACTTGGCACCTGCACACAGTGCCAAAGCTACCAGTACCTGGTTTAAGGACCATGGTATCCCTGTTCTTAACTGGCCAGCAAACTCTCCTGACCTTAACCCCATAGAAAATCTATGAGTTATTGTGAAGAGGAAGATGCAATACGCCAGACACAACAATCAGAAGAGCTGAAGGCCACTATCAGAGCAACCTGGGCTCTCAGAACACCTGAGCAGAGACACAGACTGATCATCTCCATGCCATGCTGCATTACTGCAGTAATCCAGACAAAATGAGCCACAACTAAGTATTGATGCACATGTTCATACTTTCTGTTGGCCAACATTTCTAAAAATCCTTTTTTTTTTATTGGTCTTTAGTAATATTCTAATTTTCTGAGATACTGAATTTGGGGTTTTCATTAATTGTCAGTTATAATCATCAATATTAAAAGAAATAAACATTTGAAATATATCAGTCTGTGTGTAATGAATGAATATAATATACGAGTTTCACTTTTTGAAAAGAATTACTGAAATAAATCAACTTTTTCACAATATTCTAATTTTATGACCAGCACCTGTATTAGACAGACTGTAGAACATCAGCATGTGTAGCACATGTGTAATCAAACATGTATATTCGTGATATAAAGAGAGATGGCAATGGGCATGTGCCAACCGCCTACTTCATTTATTGTATGTGACACAGCGCCACCAGAGGTGACCCACAGCACTACACTGCCTCGCCCCGTATTTCTTCCGTGTTTGAACAGGCAATGAGTAAATTCTGCGGTTTTGACCATAGAAGTGTTGAAATAATTCAGAAAACAGTTTTATAAAACCGTTTTCCAGAACAGTCAAGTGATCAAATGTATTTTCTCTTAACATTGTTAGCATTTTACTTGTCATGATCACAGGTGCAGCACCTGCCTCCCCTGACTGCACGTCACTGTTCAGGATATCCTTTCATTTCATAGTTTGCAATTAGTAGCTTCAAGAGAAGTGCAGAAAACATTTTGACATAATACAAAGCAGATGATGTTATTCAAAAGTAAACCAGATATAAAATTGATAATCTAATATTGGTCAGTCTGAGTGATCTGACCAATGTGGTGAACACCCCTTCATCTTTCCTCCTAGAACATGTAAGGGGACACAAACAGGGTCACCTTGGTCAGGTAGCGGCCCAGCAGGGTGCTGCGCTCCAGCTCACTCATCTCTACCTCGGCCTCCAGTGTGGCTGGACCTTTGATGGGTGTCACCAGGAGAAGGGTGCCAGTCTGCTGACCCGTGCGCTGCACACTGAAGTGACCCTGACCGCGACCACCAGCCAGTCCAAATCGCAGCGTGTCACCCAGCACCCGAGCTGCAGACACCCGGAAGAGGATGCGAGGAGCGGACATGTTGGAAACCACAGCCAGGAAGTGGAAAGAGATGGAATTTGGAGCCTGACTGCAGGTTTTGTCTTCCAGCATACATGGGTTCCTCTCACAGCGCCTGAAAGAACATAGTCAACCAGCAGGCAGAATTTCAGTTACAAACCCTGTAAGCTGTGGAATATTGGTTACAAGACAATTAGCATTAGTAAAAATCTGACTTTTTGTATGTTTATTTGAGGGATGTTGAACTCAGTTACCAATAGGAGCCAAAATTTAAAACCTTTGTCCGATCCACGGCTCGAGTCGGATACCTGATATCTTTTCTTGGTTGCAGGTTCATGAACAAGAGTTTGATCTGTCTCCATGTTCTGTTGCTCTTTCCACATCAGAGTCAATGACAGAATGATCCAACCTTCTCCTGGCCTAAATTATCATCTTGGGGGACCAGATTTGGCCTGCAGCTCTTGAGTTTGTCATATGAGGGATGATCTAAGATCCCGGATTGCAGCGCAGCAGGGTTTAGAGAATGCTGCATTCTAGTTTTCACTGAGAGGTTTCAGACAGACGAGCTGTACCTTAACGAGACTGGACCGTAGTTAGACTGAAGGGGTAAGTCTGTGATTTAGCTCAGTGTGTGAAAATATACACAGTTTATAAGTACTGATCGTCAAATGCGGACTTACACCTCCCTGCAAGCTAACTCCACAGCAGCGCTCGGCAATCTCCTCGATGCCATCAGTTGCATTCAAAGTTTACTGTATACAGATGTTTTCAGTCAGCCATCTTGTGGACTGCTCGGATTTTCCAAGCTGCTGCGTTGCAGACTCAGGAGCTGCTGGAGTGGAACTTCTTCGTCCTCATCCTCCTCTTTATCAACAGACTTTGTAAGAGAGGCACTCAGTGCATTGAAGGCTCGGGTGCTCAAGCAGAAAAAACATTTTATTAATCTAAAGAGGAGTAATGTATACTGTATGAGTGACCAAAAGTATACTGTGTACATGACTTTAGTAAAAGTACACAGTATACTGTGT